AAACAGCGTAATGACGTACGAGGGCACGAGATTCTTTTCTTTTCCAGCTTTCGCGTGTCGATACGTGCGGTTCGCGGCTAATTTGTAACGTTTTATCGACTGAACCGGCGGGTTGGTGAAATTGACGAAATAGTTTTCGCGCGAGGTAGGTAAACCAGAATGGCGAATATCGGTAAATAGGGTTGATGGCGGGTTAGGAGAGAGACGGGGGGGGGGGAGCTGGGAGGGGAAAGGAGAGGTCAGCATCGAGCGATAATCGTTCAGGAATAATTTTGGTTCGTATCGAATCAATGCAAGGGTCGAGGTACGCCAAGTAGGTCGCCACAAATCCCATTGCTGCCAACGTGACAAACCAGCCGGTGCAACGCTGCACGCTCGCGCGCGTTTCACTACGTCGCGGCGGAACCTCGTTAACTTCCACCGCTGCTGGAAACATTGCGGCGAGACTCGCGGCCAGAACATCCGCCGTTGTTACGTCGCCGACAGCTGTCTCACTGCTCACCAGATTAATCGTTTGAAATACGATAGGCCAAGACACGCGGTTTTTCCTTTTTTTTTTTCTTTTTTTTGCGATTTTGTTAAGTTACGTTCCATGTAGCTCGTCAGCCGCCGCGCGCAATCGTCTATTTAGCAAAGACACTCGAGTTAATATCTGAAAGACCAAGTTTACCGACAGAGAGATGTTTCTAGGAAATCGTATAGTTGAGACTCGTACGGTTCTCGTAAGTTTGCTTAGACTTGGACGACGCTCCGTCGTAACCTACCATTCCGTGGGGCAGTTAAATAATTTCAGGGAACAGTGTTACCACCGTGACATAAATCAACATTTTACGAGTGCATCGACGAACGTTTATTAAGCAGCTCGCAGTTGCGCGCGTAACCCGCTGTAGCAACGATTTATATTTAGCCACACGGGATTATAGTTTTGTTTCTGTTACAATGCGTGCGGCTTGCTTCTGGCAGTTTCCCTAATTTCGTACCATCTGAAATAATACGACGGCCAGTGATCCTCAATGCGTTCGAACGCGTAACTGACCAATTAGAAGGATGCATTTTTGGGGGGAGGGGAGAGAGCAGGAGGAAAACGATAGAAATGACGGTGGATTTTCGTGAGGCCCGATTGAAATGAAATCGAACGTCGGAGTGCATAACCTCGGGATTAACCCCCCTGCGTTGGCAGCTGGTTCGCGGACCATAAGGAGTGACCGATCTGTATACAATAATTTGTCGCTTTTGAACTCGTCGGTATATCACTGGATAGAAATTATTAAGAAGTAATAAACTCATTTGTTTTCCCCGGGTTACATTTAATTATATTTAATATTGAGAAAATGCTGCAATTTGAGACAAAAATTTCTCGACGTGTGTAGCACGTCATTCCAGCGCAAGAGGACGCCTGCGTGGTCGTGCGATGGAAACTGTTTTGACAATGCCGATAACGTTATTGCGCTTGTCACGTGACGAGAGGGCACGACTGTCCAATTTGTGACAGCTTTCCTCAAAATCGGTCGCGAGGAATACATCTAGGAATCGAATTGAATTCGATTTGGTCGCAAAACTTACTCGAAATGCACGTTGTTGATTGTAAATGGAAAGTCACTGTCAATCGTAAGAAACCATTTTTCATTAATGAATTAGGAGTCGTACGTTTTTTTGACAATGTCGTAATAAAGTTCGATTTTCTTCGCGCGTACTTAATTAATTACGACTCTTTTTTTTTTTTTTTTTTTTTTTCTTTTTTTTGTTTTGTTTTTTATGTCGGCCTATTTCTAAAAAGCCGCGTCCAATTAACGTTCTGCCTCTTTCAAGAATGCGGAGACAAAAGCCTGGGAAACTACCATACGGTCGTTGACGACTTTCAGTAGTAGCAGCACGTGCTATTGACAATGAATGCAGTAGAAAAGGTAGCGTGCGCATCGAACAAACTGGCCTCTCCTATTCACGTGTTCATCACGTGATTCTGACTCTAGTTTTGCTTGCTGTGGAATTTTTCATTTCGCGATGTCTCTATAAGCTCGCGTTACTTTAATGACAACGTTTATCGGTATTTAATTTGTATATGAAACAAGAAAAAAAAAAGAACAAATCAGCGATAGAACATACTATTCGAAGTGACAAGAATAGAAATCAGGATTAAAATTACGCTCAAAAGTATAACAAAAGTACCATACTGTCATTATGCAAACCAAACTTGACCTTAACTTGACAGACTATTACTCCTTCGGCTAGTTTGCACTCTTAATTTCCATTACAACGTGGATAAAAATTGATGTAAACATTCCACTTTGCATTGCGAATCGCGTTGAATTATTTATCAACTTCACACAACCAGAATAACTCAAACAGTCACCGCCGGGCAATCACGTCAATTATCGTTTTTTTTGTAAAAATCTCAAGATCAAATTTGTTTTGACGTTCAACGACCGATAATTGACTCTCGGACGACTTAATAAACTCAGACGAGTTCCTTTCCTCCATCACTATTTACAATTGCATCGTACGTATCTGTATCGACCGAAAGAAACTCGATTGCGGTTTTACTCTCTGAACAAAAGCTCGAGATTTGTCTTCCTAGTTCTCGAGGTGTTTTCCTAAAAGAACAGCGGAAACAACCTTTGTCTTTCTTCGCGCATTTTTTAAATTTTCTTATTGCGCGTATAAGTTTTCTTTCTTATCGACAGTTGGTAATTTAAACCCGTCGATAAAGTCGTATAGCTAATTGGCTAATACTGCCTGTGTATGTGTTTATATCCGATTATATTCGTTGTTTACACGAACGCAATTTTTAGTTTGCCAGAGGAAATTGACGATAGTATAATGAATTGGTGTGTATGTACGTACAAACGACAAGGTAGAACATACGGGCGTACTTGGCGCAACTCCAGCCGTACGTGCTGACTTGACACGGCTCGTAACGTTCCCCTGTAGAATCTTCTTGCCACTTGCCATGAAATCGAACGCAACGGCCGCGGTTCGCTGCGTTTCGCGTTTTCCCTGAGCGAAAAAAAGCGCAACACCGAGTGAATCATCGATGTTCGTAGAAGAAATGCAAGGATACGCCATAGATACACCCTGCAATTGCATATTGCGTCGTTTTCTTCGTAATCGTTACATGCAGCGATGTATTAGCAATGGTGTATCTTCCGATCGATCATGACAGGATATCTTCCTCTATTTTTACATTTTACCAATTTTTTTTTTTAAATGACAAATAGATTACGTATTTTCACACAATTTTATTTCGTAAACGTAATTGGAAAATCGTAATTATTATACGATAATAGAGAAAGATTTTTCTCAAACAATTTACTACTTTTTAAGTACTTTTCTTTAGGTTTTTTATATTGTATGCGCCCACTGCATTTTTGCATTTTTAAATTTCCCGCCAATGCGCAAAGTTTCGTATTTAATGATAGGCGACATTTTCTTTTTTACCGATTAATGTTAAAGTTTAATATTTTCTCAATTTTTCTTAAGAACCTGCGACTTTCGAATGCTAGATAAAGATGCGGCAATAAGCTTAATTAAATGTTCGCGATCGATCCGCGGCTTAATCTTTCTCTGATCTAAATTGATTTCATCGCGCGGATCTTGAACCGGTTCGCCAACGAAACAGATCACTTTTAAACACGAAAATTAAGAATTATCGTTCCGATCGTTTTTTTTTTTCTTTTCTCGTCACAGTCTTGTAATTGCAATTAAATACTTGAGATATTAAATATCTGATTTTTCTCCTTTTCTCCATCGTTAGTAAATATCTTCCGTATTCGTGGTGCCAGAAACGATCGCGAATCAGTTCCCACGGATTTTTGTTAAAAACGTCGACAATCTGTATTAGATATTAGATGCTCGTTTTTATTGTGTTGTTAGGAGGGAACTTTTCTCTGGATCAATAACCTTAAATATTGCATTACAACGTTATAGACGCGAATAATTGATATTTCTTACGGGATACTTGAGTTAGGGTCAACCGAAGACAGTCTTCAACCTCTTGAGAACCCGTCGAATATTTCTATGTTTTTTCATCTTTTATTTTATTATTTTACTACATGAGTAAGGTTATGTGAAATGTTCTCTTAACCTCTTGCGCTGAAATGACGTGCCACGCAATATTATCTCAATTGCAATATTATCTCAATTTTAAGTATATTAAAATATAACCCAGGCAAAATAGATAATAAATTTACTACTTCTAGTAATTTCTATCCAGTGATATGCCGATGAATTCAAAAAGTAGACGAGTCATTATATACGGTCACTCGTTATGGTCCGTAATTAATTACTAGCGCAAGAGGTTAAGATTTAACTTTAACATCGTTTAAATTTTGTTCTGTCGTTAAATATAAGTATACCAGAGAAAAAGAAATTTAATATAAATTACGTATATTCGACGTAAAGAAAATATGATGCTAACTATTCAGAATACTCTTTTGCGTAGACTTAAATTTTTTTCAAAATATGTGTTCTACAAGTAAATTTGATATTTCGATCAAAGATCTAAGCAATTTCTTCAATTATAAATTATTTTAAAGAAACTCATAAACGGAGAAGTTATGGCAACTTGGTTCTGAAAATTGATAATTCTTACAAATCTGGGATATTGAGATAAAATGATCGTTAAAAAACTATATTGAATGATATAGCAATTATTTTGATTATCTCTAAAAATATTTTGGAAAACGTAATGAAAAATTGTAGTTTAATTATATTTGATATCCGCCAACCTAATTACGTATAAGAAATTGTACACGTAAAATTCATTGTGTAAGTCAGTGTAATATCATTATTATTTCTTGCACAACGCAACAACACGGTGGTAGATCTTAAGGGTCGTACATTATTGTATTATTTTCTTTTATTTCACGATACACATATATTTTTATAACATACTATATTATACATATGTTTATAGTAGTAACAATTTTCTCATATTATTTTTCCTTCAACGTCTTGACTGGACCAATTAGAGATTAATGAAAGCATCGTTTTGTGTGTTGTAGCCTATGGTTCAGAATCCTCAAATAGCGAAATCGAAGAGCGTGGTATCCCGTCCGAGGCGAGGATAGCCATTCGATCCTAACTCGCTCGAGTTTCCAGTTGGCGTGATCAAAAAGCCTCCAAAACGTCGACCCCGTCGGTGATTAAGTTATCGGGGGGTGGAACAGGTGGGGGTGGGGAGCAATTGTCCCCAGGGCCTGGCCCACCTCCCCCGACGTCCCCAATCGAGCATACCGACACCAACGAAAACGATGCGGCCACCACGGCGACGAAACACGTTGACAGCTTTCCACAGAACACTGAAACCACCATGAGCTTCGTCCTGCAGCTAGGCACCGTAGAAACATCCCTCGAGAAGAAGAACGCCAGCAGTCAGCCGCCGTCGTTGGCTTCGTCGTTGAATCAGGAGGAAACGTCGAACGCGATTGTCACAGGGGCCGATGACACCGGCGGCAAGCCACAGATCCTTCAATGCCTGGAAAGTACCGCAGATATCCCAGCCGGTCATGTTATTTCGTTCTCCGCCGTGAAGTCAGTGAGCGTCACCTACCCGGTGGCGAAAGCCGTTCGGGAGGTGCAAAGAATCACTGGCTCGCAGACAAACACCACCCAGGTGCTGTCGACTCGCGTTGTCTCGCAGAAGTTGCCGGTGTCTGGCAATCAAACACAGTCCGCCCCTTTAACGCTGAACGCATCTTCCAACGTGACCCATGTTCCAGTGAACTCTCAATCTTCGCCATCGCCGGGCAGCGGAGTGGCGCATGTCTATCCTTTGCAGCATACCGCGGCGTCCACGCAGAGCAAACAACAAACTAGAAATCAAGTGATCACCAACGAGGCCAAGCAACAACAACAACAACAACAGCAGCAGCAGCAGCAACAGCAACAACAACAACAAACCACAGCGATATCGAGTTTACAGACTAGCATGCCCCTGAAAGTTCAGCCGGTCTCGTCGCAATTGGTCGTAAGTAACAACGCGGTCAGAGCCATCACCAGCGCGACTTCATTGCCCAATATCCAGAGGATACACGTGAAGACGCAGAATCTCGTCGGTCAGGCACAGACGGTTAACTTGCAGAAAGTGAAGGCTGTGACGAACGTTAATCAGGGGGTAACCGTTCAAAGAAACTCCGTACCTAGGATACAGACCGTGCAGAAGGGTCAGGTGTTGTCGGCCGGTACCGCTCAAACCACCCAGTTCGCTGTTAACCAAGTTACGAACAATAGTAACGTACAGAGAACGCAACAGGGCAACTCGACGCTTCATAAAACGCAAGCGAACGCGCAGAAGGTGGCTCAAGTTTACAACAACCAGAAGGTACAGTCGCAAGTGTTGAGTAGCCATCCGAATCACAAAGCGCAGCTACAACAGATAACTGGTAATCAGCAGCAAGGATTGCAGAAGCTGCAGGTTCAGTCGCAGAAGACTATGTCCGTGCCCAGACAACCGGCGAACGTGCCTAACACGGTGAATAACGTTCAAAAGTCTAGCAATTCTGTAGCTGGTATACAGAAGGTGCAGGTAATGGGCCAAGTACAATGTCAGCAGCAATTGCCGCAGATTCAGAAACACGTGCAACAGGTACAACCGTCGCAACATCAGAGATCGCAGTCAACAGCGACTTTGCAAAAGTCCCAGACTGTGGCCACGGTTAACTCCAGCAAGGTACAGTCGATCGCAAACGCTTGCAAGAGCAACAGCGTTCCGAATATTAACAAAACGTCGCAGAGCGGCAATCTGTTGACCGTGAACAAGCAGTCGGTGATCTCACAACCGCAGCAACTGCACATTCAGAACTCGTCTCAGTTGCAGCAACAGTTGCTGCAACAGAATTCGCAGGCGCAGCAACAGTCGCAACAACAGGCAGTACAGAAGCAGCAGCAGCCCCAGCAACAGCAAGCAAACACGAACTCGCAAACTCAGAGAAGCCACAGTATTACGAATGTTCACCAGAAGGTCGCGACGATAGCTGCGACTATCCCCAATAACCAACGAACCCAGGTAGTCAACTCCAAGATACAACAACAACAGATGGTTATGAGAGTGGGCGTGCCGAAGAATCAAGCGCAGAATTTACAACAGAGTAACTTGAAGAACGTCCCACAAAAGATCGCCAATACCGTGAAAACCTCCAATTCGCAGAACGTCGTGCAACAGTCGTTGCACAGAAATGCGAGTGCCGTGCAGCCGGTGAAGATTATTCAACAACAACAGAACATCATAGGACCGCAGAACGCTCAGAAACAGCCTGGATGCATCAAGACGATACCCCCTCAGAAGCCAGCTCAAAGGAATCACACGCAGAAAGTAGCCGGTATTAAGACCTCATTGAACACGAACGTAGCTGCGGTGAAAAATCAAGGATCAGCGGCTGCAATCGCACAAAAGACGAGCATCAAAACGTTGCTCCCCCAGCAGACTGTTGCTGCGAACATGCTGATGCACAAAAATCAGCCGATTAAGATACAACAGCAAACGATACAGCAGAAACAACTTGTCGCAACGTCACAATTTCCCCAACAGGTTAGGCAACAGTCTGGGCAAGTGAAGACATTACTGCCAGTAACTAACATGGAATCTCGCAAGGATGTTGAAAACAAGTTAGTATTTATTTATGTCTCCTGTATACGTATTTGTTTGATCTTCTGTTACAATCGTGTTACAATGTTCTATTAACTAACAACTAAATGTAATATTTCTAGAATCGAAACCGAGCTGCGTGAATCTAAGGAAGACGAACGTCAACAACGTTCTACAAGTCCAGTTATAAGAATACCTCCTCCTTACGAGGTAACGCACACACACACACCACACACATATATATACATATATATATATATATATATATATATATATATATATATATATATATATATATATATATATATATATATATATATATATATATATATATATATATTGTAGTAGTGCAAAGTTCAGTAATGAATCTTTAGAGTCATTTTTTCAGTGTGCACCGTTGCATTTTGTAGTTACGTATAGTTGTTCCCAGAACACGTAATTCTTGATTATAGTGTCTTCAGTACGTCCTACAGGATCACAATTACGGGGCACCACCGCCACGAACGCCATCACCTCCGTCACCTCCGTCTCATACAAAACAGCCTATCAACGGTGCTGGAAGTTCTACCACGACTTCTCAGCATCCTTATATTTATGGAAAAGGTACAAGGATTGATTAGAATGTTTAACGCTTTAAAACACGGAATACCGGTTCAATTTGATCCATCACAAACGTTTCTTCTTGTTTTCCTAAAATTTTCAAACGTTTTGGTGCGAGGCAACACGCGCTGTTCAATTCTATAATACATGTTATATGTATTGTGTATACGATATTTGTGTACAATAATAATTTTTTATATAAACAGTCGAAGTATTTATTTTCGTCAGGCGATCATAATAACAGTTGATACCATACGTCGTAAAGGTTAATGGCGTGTTTTCATCATAAACGTTCCTTACTTCGCATAAATTTTCAAACTTTTAGTGTGAAATAGCACGCTGGGTTAAACATTGTACAACATCATACTGTAATAATTTTTACTATACGACATTCGTTGAGTAATGTCGTGTTGTTCGATGCAGTTGTTAGTGGCACTAATGTGGACGACGATGCAGCCAGTGCAATCAGTAGTGAAACAGGAAGAGATGCAGAACTGGAAGGCGAAGAAACTGAAACCGCCCCCGAAGGTGAGGGGGACGACGAGGATAGCGTTACCAGATGTATATGGTAAATATTCGTGAATTTCTTAATTGCTGAATATAGAGGCTTTCGGGTGTATCATCTTTTTGAATAGTATGCCACTATAGTGATGGCTCACTTGTTTCTCAGTCGAAGAACACAGCTAACCGGACAATATTTATGAAATAAAAAATACACTAATTGATGGCGTGACAGTCAATGTGCTAATTTATTCAAAGTTTATTCTAACGCAATTATGTATTGTTGAAAGATTAAAAAACTATGTCAACAAGAAATACTCATTTAAAAATTTTTTTCGGTTCTAGTGATTTCGAGCATGATGATGGGTACATGATCTGCTGCGATCGTTGTTTGTAAGTTCAATTAAAATATTCAAGTATCATTGGATGAAATAAATGCAACGTATCACCAGTAAATGTAAATTTCTGATTCCAGAGTTTGGCAACACGTTGATTGCATGGGCATAGATCGTTCCAACATTCCTGACGAGTATCTCTGCGAGATTTGCCGGCCGCGGCGCGTAGACAGACAAAGGGCGCGCGCTTTGCAAATGCGTAAACGCGAGGAATTGTTAAATTCCGATACGTCGTCCGACACATCGTCCACCAGTTCGGCGGATACCGACGTCGGTGTTAACACGATCCCAAAGAAGCGAAGTTTACAGCAGCAGATTCCTCGACGAAAGTCCGAACCACCGCAAGTAAGGCGACTGAACAACAACAACAACAATAACAACAACAACAACAACACCAACACCACCAACAACAATAATAATGTCGCGAAAAGACAGAGAAGAGACTCTCATCCGAGACAGTCCAGCGCCGTTCGCAAGAAAGAAGCTACGAAACGAGGCCCGGGTAAACGCAAGGCTAAACGAAGAATGAGCTTGGAGGATAAAGAGGAGGAAACTCAAGATACATGGGGTACGAACGTTGCGCCACTGAGACAGTGGATTGAACGTTACGAGGAGGCAGTGACGAATCATTACAGCCCCGAATTAAGAGCAAGGATATCATCTATCAAAGTGAATGGCACGCACAGCGACTTGAGGCAAAGTAACATGAATGTCATCGCCACTGGAAAGTGTAGGCTCAACGTGCACAATAACAATATCAGGGTAAGTATAGCTATTTCTCTTTACGACGAGCAAGGCAGCATGTTTAAAGAAAATTTTCTTTCTCTCTTTTCGCGCAGTTTCTGGTAGCAACCATGTATCTCCCGCCAAACACACCTGTCGTTGAATTACGAGGAAAGTACATGTTAAGTACCCAACATCGACCGTCCTATCCTCAAGGAAGGCAGCACACTCAGAGGCCTGGGCCGTTTGTATTCTTTTACCGGTTACCACGAGACGGGACAGAAGTCTGTGTAGATACTAGAACGTACGGGAACGACGCCAGATTCGTGCGACGTAGTTGTAAGCCTAACGCGGAAGTGAAACATTGTATAGAGAAAGGGACATTACATTTGTATATTGTTACCACAACCGCAATCGAGAAAAATGCCGAAATTACGATCAGACACGAGCAACACGACCTCCTGTTGTCACCTAATCCGAACGGTCCCATGATGCCCATCGTTTGTGCGTGTAATAATCCGAGGGAATGTCAGATAGTGTCTTTGAATCAGTTGAACAGAAGAGGAAGTAACGGAGCGTTGGCTGAGAGCGCTGACGGCCGAGAACGGAGACGAAGGGGCAGACGAAATACAATTTGCGAGGACAGCGACTCGTCGACCGTGATACCCAGTAACAACATTATCGCGCAACCTGCCCCACCACCGACAACGGTCTCGTCGTCGTCCTCGTCTTCGTCATCGTCGTCGTCGTCGGTATCCGTGCCGCCGAGAAGGACAGTCACAACCACCATGACGAACACTGTGCGTCAGGTATCGAAGGAGGAGCTGCTGACGGTGGTACAACAGCCTCAAACCTCTCCGAATCTGAATCAGCCGGTAGCGCCAGAAACTAAGAAAGACAAGAAGAAAATGACGAGGGAAGAGAGAAAAATGGAAGCTATCATGAAGGCATTTGAAAGGCTGGAGAAAGCGGAGCAGAGGAAGCAAGAGGTTCAAGCGCGGAACGCGCAGCGAAAGGAATCTGGTGGTACGCATAGCGACAACGAGGATAGTCACAGTGTAACGATCCAGTCGAAGCAGAAGCAAGCGAATTCCGACAGACCTCTGAGGCGAAAAAGAAGAAAGGGCAGAGCGAGGACTACGAGTACCTCTCAGTCGCAGAGTAGCAGCAGTCGGAGAACCCGGTTGAATTCCGCGGATTCGGACGAGTCGTCCGGAGAAGAGAGCACCTCGATGCAGTCTCCGCCTTTGTTGAACCAAAATCACTCGCAGAATCGGGATGGCCCTTACTCTTCTCACTTGCACACCCCTGCCAAGAACATGAATGAAAACGTGACAGCAGCTGCACATCAAGGCATACCAACAGCCGCTGGTCTACTGCTAGCTCTAGCAAATTCCAACGCACCTGGACCGAGTTCGCCTCCTTTGCAACAACCAACGCCAGTTAAGAGCCCGACCTGTGACAGCGGTGCGAGCAGCAGCTCTCAAAGCTCAACACCATCCACGCCGTTGTCCTCGGCTTGCTTGCTAGTCGCGGCAGCGGTCGGCCCTCTGGCTCCTGGCTTCAAATTCCCAAAAACCAAGAAGGTGCTGATGAACGAATGGCTGAAGGAATCGCCCGATCCACCGCAGAGCAACATATCTCAGATGTCGCCGTTACCAGCGTTACCGCCAGCCTCCGCGTCGAACTCTATAAATACTCTTTGCAGGTCCACGGATTTTTCTTTGCCGACCGACTCGTCCGCGGAATTTTTAACGCAGAGCTACGCAGCCAAGAGTTTGGCCACCCTCGTGCAAGCGGCAAATTCGGTCTCCGGGATGTGCGACTCGCCGCCACAGCGCAAACAGGCAGCCAGCGGGAACACGGTTTGCCCAGTCTCTACGGGATCGGCGAAGAAGAGATGGCTGCGTCAAGCCATCTCTGAAGAATGCGATTCACCGAACAGCCGACCGGACAGTCCGCCGGCCAGTGAAATGGTGGCTCCGCCAAAGAAAAGAAGGATAGCTAGAGAAAGTTTATCATCGGACAATTACACTCCACCTACCACACCCACCATGTTAGTCCCTGACGCTGTTACAAATAGTAGATCTTTGTGTCCTGCTGAAGTAAGTAGCTATTGTTTTTTGGCAAAAGGAATTGGAAATTGATCTCTCAACTGAATTGTTTTTTTCCAGGACGATTTCATCGAGCACCTGCAGTCCCCGTTGGCCGAGCAGAACGATGAACGTCACATAACAACAGAATCAATCAAACAGGAAGACGTCTCGCACGAGCATATAAATTCGGACGAGGCCGTACGGCAGAAGCTTTCCATAGACATCCCACAGGATTTTCATATTAAAACCGAGAAACATGTGATAGTAACGCAGATGGACACTTCGTTGATGAAGGAAGAGAGCATACAAGTGAAGAAAGAAGAGAGCGATGAAACGGATTGTGACACGTATTTGGAATCGAAGGCTTTCATCAAGGATGAATTACGATCTGTTAAAAACGAGCTGATCGATCAGACGCTGGTTGACAAGAGCAAAAAGGAATATGTTATAAAGAAAGAAGAGAACTTGGATATGGAGAAGGGCACGGTCGAGATAGTCGATCAGAACGAGGGAGACATAGAAATGGAGGATTTCAGCTCTCCAATCGCTGTTATGGAGTCGGATGCGATTCTGAAGCAACGTGTCGCTGAGATGAGACTCGAATTCGGTGGTAGTATCAGCGAGATGGTTAAAGCCGAGGACGACAGATGTGACGACGATAAAAGATCCGAGGACATGAAGTGCGAGGTGAAATCAGACGACAACATGTCGATCGATGAGTTTGACGTCGAGGCCCAGATGAAAAAGATCACTGGTGACGATGGGAACGATTACAAGGAGAAAGTAGACACCAGTTCGGAGAAGGATAAAAGCATGGATGGTATCGAGGGTCTGATGGAAAGTTCCAAGGAAGATTCAGAATCCGAGGACAAGGAAATGGACGAATCGCCGACGTTCAAATCGTTCAACTTAAATCACGAGGGGAAATTATTCAAAGACTTTGGGAGCAAGTCTGAGCCAGAGTCCATCATTGAGAACAGCATGAAGGAGACGGAACAGAGCCAGGAATCTCAGAAACTTGAACAACCGTCCGTGTTCGTTACTTCGTCGGAAGAATCTATTTTCGAGTCTGCATCCTCCAACATGGACACAGAGTCGGTCGCGGAACCGCCAAAGATTTTTCACTCGATTCCACCGTTGAGCGAGCGCATCCGCAAAAAGACGGAAACGCCCAGCGTTTCGAAGAGTCAGCTGAATTTCGAGGCAGCCATTATCGAGTCTACCATCGATATGGAGACGGTAGACGAGTCTAAATCTGGTGAGCAAAAGTCCATGCTCTCGACGGCGTTGAGGGAGTTGTTGGAGGCGAAATTGGACGATTTAACAGCCGGCGACGCTAAAGAGGAGATCGTCCAAGAAAACAGCGCGCCGTACGTCGAGCCAAAGTGCGAAACTCCCGAGCAAAATGTTGAGATCGAAGGATCAGCGACGAAACCAGCGCCGCAAAACGTTCACAACGAGGAAACACCGGCGAAAGAGGAGGAGGCTCCGCCTAAGGAGATCAAACGACTAAAGGACCCGAGAACCGTGGTCCCAAACAGTATGCCAGCGCCTGCATTTAAACCCGAGGCAATTGTCCCTGTTAAGCGAAAGGTTAGATTTAACTATGGAACGAAATCTTCGCCTCGAAGTTAATCTTCGTCTATTCAAAAGTGATTCGCTGTTCCAGTTGTCGATATCGGAATACCGTAAACGTAAACAGCAGTCGTCCGGTGGTACACCTCCGGAGCCCGAGCCGTCGAGCGACGCCTCGGCAACGGATAAGGGAGGTGCCAGGGGTAGATCAGACAGCGCCAGCAGTGGTACATCGTCGCTTAGTTCCGATGAGGAAGGTTCCAAAGTCTCGTTAAATCTCGACGTACCGACCTTGACCGCGTTACCGCTCTTCACCAACGCGGAAGGCGAGGAAAAGAAAGGTTAATATGGTCGGGCGGTTTAGTCGGTTTTTTTAGAAATACAATAAGAAAAAGCTTCGACGTTGAAAAAATGATGATGATGATAAAAAGTATTTTGATAAAAATCGGTCTGTTTTCGTAGGTAGCGAAGAAGGAACAATCGGTTGGTCCGCCGCGCCAACTTTAGTCGAACGTCAAAGAGAAAATCTTACAGAAAGATTGAAACGAGAGTTTGGATTATTCCTCAGCGATGACGAAGAGGAACGAGCCCGCAAACATGGTAAAAAAAAACATTTCGTAGTGTTCTTTCCTCTTTGCTTCGTGCCATTTTTGCTCGCGCGCTTATATCGTCGTGTACGCGACATGCGTATTGTTACAGGTTTGACCGCAGAGGCAATATTGAAAGCGCGTAAGGCATCTCCGCCTCATCCAACCGTGTCGAACACTCCGCCAGGTTACCCGGTACCACCTCAGTTGCCACCTCAGCCCTATATACCACCTCCGGGATCCGCGTCCATTCACTATCCTCAGTTCCAAGCCAAACCTTGTCCCGTTCAATATCAAAATTTCACGGTGCCGCAGAATGCCACGCAACCAGCCTACACGAACGCCGCGCCTCAGGCCTCTGCAAACAAACAGACGCAACAGTTCTTGTTACCTCAAGCGTCTCAAGCGCCGCCGGGCTCGAATCCGTATCCCCCTCAGTTTGTTCCGCCGTCTACCACAGCAGTATCGATCTCCAAGTACACGTCTGTTACACCGCCGCCACCCGGAAGTCAAGTCTATCCTGCATCCGGCCAGTCGCAGAAGCAATTTTACAATCATCCGGCACCAAGGTCTTAACCCACATAAAAGGTAGCGCTGTCGAGAAGATTTTTTTTTTTTCTTTTTTTTATTTTTTTTTTTTTTTTTTTTTTTTTTCTTTACTTTTTCGTCCAAGCGAATCCGTGCAAGTGAAACGGTTTTGACATTGATTTCTAGAGTAGCAACTTCGTTAACCTACATCCTAGTTAGAAAACCAATTCATCTCGCGTTTCATTTTCTCGTCGACTTTCTTGCAACAATGACTCCTCCTAAACATTACAGAATTACAGAATTTTCTTTGAATTTCCGTCGACACGGTGAAAAGCAATGAAGTTTGCATAATCCGATAAGCGACAATGAACTGGGAATACATTAACACTCGATATTTCGCGGTTTTCAGCTATTAGAATTTCTATAATAATTACATTATGCCCGATAAAGACACGTTACAGGTTCGTTACATGCTTTTTGACATAAATGTCGCTATTTTTTAATAGGCAATGATTCACAAGTTCAGTTGGAAATAGAACGTAAAACATTTGACGAAATTTTCATAAGATTGAACGACTACGATCAAAAAAAGTTTTAAACTTGAGAGTCAATTGAGATTACGTATGTTTAAAATTTCACGATTTACTGCTGTAAAACAAAAAGCTGTATCACTTATTTAACGAATAGGAATATAGATATGCTTGAGCAGAGTGATACTTCAAATCGTACGTTATAAATATTAAATGTCAAATCGAGGGAAAATTTCGTCTTGTATCCACAACTTCGATTGAGATATCTTCCTCGATATGTAAATGAAAGATAAACATCTGTTTTGGGTCAATTTCATCGTTTAACCATCCATCATGCACGATCGACTTTATCGTTCCATTTGTTTTTTTTTTTTTCTCTGTTTTCGTTTTCCATTATGCTTATCGGAAAGACAAGCAGCGATGAGTTGCGGCAGTGAGTCACGAAACAGTGACAATTTTTTTTCTTTTCTCTTTCAAATTGATGAACGAGAGTTCAACAACACTTTATTTTTATTATATATAGATGACAAAATCTTGTCTATTCTTTCAGTCGAATATTGAGTCACTTCAAATCAGCGTAACTAGTCGATAATAGTAAAATTAAAATTTCTGCTTCGCGCGGGAGAATGTTTGTACAATGTACAGCTTGTTGTTAGCTTAAACTTACGCTTAATGTCAGAATGTCTTATAATTTGCAAACATGACGTGTGGAGAATTGAGTTTCAACTGACTATGCCTTCAAGTGTGTATAATAAATTAGTTTGTCATCCTAATTTTTTAATAAATGCGCAGTTGTATATTTTAAGTCGAATCTCTCAGCGCTTGCGTTCTGCGTGAATTTGACAAATATATACAAACGAGATTGCGCGCAGGACAAAATAAGTGGAAACGTAATCTCAAATTTTTAAGGTCCATTTCATCGGCAATTAGGATCTAGGCAACAGCCTACTCCAATTTTACGCGCATGTCTTAGAAGTTTCTTTAGAAACGTCGAATTACGTGTTTACGAAATGGAAAATGAATCCTTGTAAAAAAAAAAAAAAAAAAAAAAAGTCGCAGTTAAAATTGAATTAAGAATAATGACTTCCAACAACGGAAACGGAAAAGTATATGGTTTCGCCGGGTTATTTCGTTAATCATTCATCTCAGTGATGAGTCGATATTTGTTTAACTTGAGGTAATGCCCAAGGTGTGCTAGACTTCGAGAAGCTTCTCGAGTGTTTTCTCAATAATAAACGGAAGGTTAGCCCGTGTTAAATGATAAACGCAATTTCACGAGGCTCCTCTCTGATTCATCGATATTAAATATTGACATTACGGAGGAAAACGATCAGGGTGCCGGCGATTATGTCTTAACATTGTTCGTTGTTCAAGTTCGCCATGGATACGTACGCTTAATGAAATCCTTCGGAGGGTATCATAAGAATCCCGACGTATAATTTACTTCGAGTTCTATGTGTGATTTAAAAAAAAAAAAAAAAAAAAACATTTGTATGCATCTAAACTCATGCAACGACAACGTTGCACTTCTGATTTAAATGCAAAACGTATTCGTACATCCTTGAACGTTTAACCATCGATTATAAATACCATAGAAAGTACTCCTTTCTAGTCATTTGCATATAAAAATCGTTGAATAATTTTTGCATGATGAAAGTTTCGATTATAACAATTTTGTAAAAAGAAAAAAAAGAAGAAACTCTAAGCAAAGGATGCGTGGAGAGTAGCTGATGCAGTAATTCGAAAATAATTCCTTGATATTCCCGAAGAAAAAAAAAATGGCGAAATACGGGATAAATTGATAAGTATCGAATCAAGCCTTTGCGATTACTAATTATAAATAATTAGCAAATGATTTTTCAAACACGCGGCTGTGTTTTAATATTTCGTCATACTGAGTCGCCGATTCCCAGCTATTCAATAAATCGCCAATCGTAACGATTGCGAAAGACGCGTACAATAGCTCACAAAAGTATTTGCATATTTATTTACCAGGTATTTATTTAATACATAATTGATAATAATTTAAAATCATCACTTTAAAGCATATAAAGAATCAAAGATCGTCACACTGAACGAATGGCCGATTATTTCGATGCTTTTCTGAGTGATTTGTAATTTTTATACATATTTTTTTTTTTTTTTAGATATATTCCAAACTTTATCAATGGAATCGTGATAATTGAGTCTCATTTTTGTACTAATGAAATTACAAAATATTTGCATTTTCAATGCCTCGCAATATATTCGTAGAAGTAAGTACTACATGCTTAAATATTTTCATGAGTTACTGTACACACACACCGCGTAATAAGCGGCTACTTATTGCGGCTACTTGAGTCATCCAGTATTAAATTATCAACGATAAATAACGCGAATGCAATTCTTCAACATGATCATTATTAACCCGAAAGAATTTCTTACTTTGTATTTGTTCCCCGTGTATTACCGGCTGGCAGCCGACATTTATGTCCAATATTAATCGCCGGTCAAGGCAGAGGTGAAAAATTTAAGGTCGACAGATAGAGAGTGGAAAGTTGCGTTACGGTGCCTCTTGGGCCAATCGCGCGCGCGTAATCACATTATGATGGCACTCACCTCGAGAGAGGATCGATGAACAGTGCAACGATGATCACAGCAATAACGACGCAGGTTAGATAAATCGCAGAAATTTCGTAAATCTCGGATTCCGGAGGTCGGTCGAGGGTCTCGTGGCCTCCGTTACCAAGGACACAGAAATCGGCGCCGCAGAGCTTGATTTTGTCCCAGTTTGTGGTACTGTTGCCGCCACCACTGCCGAACTCTCCCCCGCTGAGCACTTGGAATCCAAACAAATAGGAAATTTTTAGTCAGACGAAGAAATGCAAGCATGGCATTGCTAAAGTAAGAAATAAGATTCAATTGGGAATTTGTACTGTGATACGATACAAAAAAAAAAAGAGAGAAAAAGAAAAAGAAAGAAAGAAATCTCGATCTATGGCGAATATTTCGTAGCAATCTTTAGGTTGTGTGGTGTTAATGTAAATCTTATTTTTCTTATTTATCTAAACATTTTCCTGTTTCATGTCCTTTTGTAATAACTGTTTTGTTTAAAAAAAAAAAAAAAGAAAAGAATCTTTAAACTGTTACTAAGAACTCTGCTACGAGGAAAAATATCGTATTTTACGTGTCTTATTTACGTATATGATCATTCTTCTCTTCTATTTCTTTATTCATAATTTGTTGTATCTCGTGAAAATCTAATGGGTATGCGCAAACAGACGTATTTGAAAAAAAAGAAAAGAATCAAATGATCAATACGTTGCATAGAAGACCAATAGGAACACAATCGAAAGAACGGGGATCTCTCAAACAAAATGTATCTTATCTCCACAAGCATAAATCTCTCAATAATTTATCAAGATCCTGCTCAACTTTGCAGATAATCGGGCGATACGTATGCAACTATTTATTGCATCTGACTACGATCTAGGAACTATCCGCGCCATATATATTCATCAAGCTATGCAAAGCATTCAGACGCGACAAGAAAGCAAAAGGCTTAGATCGGCCACAATCGACAACTTTCCGTCGTCAGTCGGAAGCAAATCGTTGGAGATTCCACCGTAGCAGCAGTTAATAGCGGGAGAAAAGTTCACAGCGTTTTCTCCAGCTTGTGCCACGAACGATCTCGTCTGTCAAATATGCAAATATCGGTGCTAAGCGGCGAAATTATACGACTCCAGAGCGAAACGTATCCACGTATTCTGGAATTTACCACCATTGACCAATCCGCGCGTACGCGGTCATCGGACGGCGAACGACAGGAACTTTCACCGGAGCGTCGTTGATAATATCATAGCATGTTTACAATGTCTCCCACCATCGTTTCCGATTGTCCGCAAGTCCTACTTATCGACTTGTGATATATTCACAGGTGTCACGTGTGTTCAAGCTCGTACATGTGTGTACATCATTGGAACGCGATTTTCTTGCTGATAGAAGTTCACGGGTTTGAAAAGCGCGGCCATTTAAACGTTTCAGTAATTCCCTCGGCTGCGCGAACCACGAAGAAGTTGAATACGGGAACTGTGTTCAATGTCTCATTTGATTAAGATACTGATACATGCGCATGTATCAATTTATTGGAGATATTTATACACACACATTCGTGGAAATTTGTCGATTTAGGTCCGGGTAAATTTTTTTTTTTTTTCACTCGAAGAAGTTACAATACGAGTTTGGACGAAACGTAAGTGGCAAAGATATCTCAGGGAACCGTCTTTTCTTTCGCAAGAAAAACAAGCAAAAGAGGCAACTTTGAGAAGCAGCTGCGTTTATTCAGGAGACTAAAAATGTATTTAATCGATGGATAGATTGTAAAATCGATTTCTTTCGATGTAGAATTCGTGAAGAAACAACGGGAAACTATCAAGACATTAGAGAAATGTAGCTTGTCGTTTGGAGCGTTTCGAGAACTTGAGAAATGAACGCGGGGAATGTGACGATGAGAGGCAGTATATAATATCTTGTACGCGTCTTCGTCAAAGGCATTCCGTTTAATGGATGACGATATCGGAATATACAAGTAATAGTTTCCGATTAAACGTGAGCCACGAAAAGACATAAATTAAACGTAATCAAGCAACGTGTCATTTATGAAAAATTACACGCCCGCAACGACGAATTATTGTCTTGCTTTTCGTGCGGTTACACATTGTTTCGCGAGTGTGTTCATCGCGTTTCGATAATTGTAAACGTGTATCGTGCTTCGAAATACAGACTTTGCTCTATTCCAGTGTTTATACTACCTTGCGGAAGAACATACTAGAAAAATCGGGGAATCGAGTGTTCCTACATTCGAATCATGAAACATTACGATCCACACAGTTCACTTTCAATAACATATATTCTCCGAATAATCTCAAAGATATCAGACTCGATATAAACAGGTATAGTTTGTTTGAAATCAATCGAACACTCGAAACCCATTAATGCTTTCCCTGATTATTTAATGTAAAAAGATCTTTAAAAGTGATCTTCGCTGTTATTAACGCGTACGACGTATCGATTCAATTATTTAACCCATAAAAACTAACATTATTTAAAATTAATATTAAATATTAATATTATAGTAAATATCATTAACTATTATTAACTATTAACTATAATACATATTTATCATGATTGTCAATTATGGTTATAAATCTGTAATTGAAGATTACCGAGACATTTGCATTACTATACTTTAGAATTGAATTTCGATAATTTAACAACATTTGAAATGCTCAACAACTCAACAACCAAAAAGTTAAATGACATATTGTCAATCGAATTCTCTTATCTAACCGTAAACACTTTTATTAACCGAACGAAAAAGAGTTGAAGACATTCTGTAGAATTAATAAAGTCCCATTATATAAACTTTTTATCTATATTGAGCCAGGTAAAATAACGTTACACGGGGAAGAGAATCATCGCAGCACCGTGAACCTTGGAAGATTAATCGATCTTGTATAAACAAAAAATAACTATCAAAGCAAGGAAAAGAAAAAAAGGAAAGGAAAAAAAAAAATGAAAAGAAAAAAAGGAGCAAAGGAGCGAGGTAAACTTGAAACGTATCTGGCGTGAAGGCTGCGGCGAGCCGCGCGTGCAGAGCCAAGCGGAGTAAACGGAAGTGCTATTGCCCGTTGGGGAGGAAGCGCCGATCGCTCGATCGAACGGTTCGAATCATAGAAAACGGTTAAAAACGCGCGCGCTACCGCCGCCCAAGTATCGGAGAATGCGTACGAGGTGGTACGGAAACCGACTATCACGGGTTTATACCGGATAAATCTTGTTTCTTCCCGAGTGTTCTCCATCGCTGTCCCTCGAACGTTTTCCTATCTTTCTCGGTAACTCTGACTGGCCGGTGTTGTCAGTCAGACCCGCTCGAAACACGAGTGTGTCCATAGGAGAACGTTAGTAGCAAGTCCGAGAGTTGTCATGTTGCCAATCTTACCAACAACCTATGGACCAACCAGCCAGCCAGCCAGCAAACCAACCGGTCAACCAGTCAGTCAGTCAGTCAGTCAGTCTGTAAGGGAAAGGACCGAATATTTGGCCCGACAAGTCTGACTAACGCACGCATTGTTACTGCTGTGCACACCATGTGCGTCATACCGTATCATACACTGTGTTCCAAGCGAAAAAACACACTTGGAAAAAAAAGTTCTAGCAGATCTGATATGAATACTCGTCTGAAAACTTAATAACTTTAATTGTGTGTATTACATAAGATATTTTAACATTGTAGTAATGTTAACCATAATGAAACACGCTTGCTGTAATTATAATACATAAGTCAAATTTTTGAAACTTTGTCAGGAGGAAATATTCCGTATAATTTAATATATATTTATGAACAGGAGTTTACGTCGAACGTACATCTCACGAATATTTCACAATTCGATCATCTATCTGGTCAGGTACAGTGGATGTTACCTAAACGTTGTTATTATGGTATGTAAATAATCTTACGGTGGGAGATATAAGAAGAGAAAATGAAAGACAGAGAAGAAATAGAAATTACAAAATTTGGTGACAGATGGAATGATATTGACACCGATTCCACATGACCTTGAGGATGGTCTCTAAGACTTGGCCATTCGATACATCAACGACCCGAGAATCCTTGAGTGAGAGGGGCTCCGGCAATTTGCATTTTAATTAATTCTTAGAAAGGGCACGTGTCCGAGATGATTAATTTGAACGAATAGAAATAGAATAGAGGAATCGGCGGTTAAATCTTCTTTTCTTTTTTTTTTTTTTTCCTCTCGGATAGGACATTCGATGACCAGAAGGAATTTTGAGTCGGATGAAGTTCGTGCATATTCGATGAGGAAGACACTGTTTAACCTAACGGTACGGTTAATTAGAGCCGATTTATAGTATTGGTGGGTAGCTCGTGGAATGTTTTCTGCTGGATTTCCTTTTGCTGCTGTCCTAGTGAATGTACGTGTTCTAACGCAACCTAACATTTGCCATCCTATATGAGTTTTACTATCGAACAATAACTTAAGTTTTAGAACATACGTTCAGTGTACAATTCCATTCTGTTGAATTCGTCGTTCCTATTACTTATCGTTCCCATTTCGAACAATTTCTTATCGCTGCAAGTGAACTCCAGGTACATGCTATTTACGTGCACGTGAATTTTATAGTAAATATAATTTCTATAAATTCCTTTGCGAAACATCTATATTACATCATTATATTATTAAAAAGTTGTATTAGTTAAAAAGATACGAATTTTTAAATTTCATGACTTTGCTTGAAACAAATGCTTCTAAAAAATTATTCTAATACTTAAATATTTAATATTTAATTCTTATTAATTAAAAAGATACGAATTTTTAAATTTCATGACTGCTTGAAACAAATGCTTCTAAAAAATTATTCTAATACTTAAATATTTAATTCTTCATTATAAGCGAATGATCCAATACTTTTGACGCTTAATGTTCATTTGATATATTATAGCGTTATTGTAATTGAGAATAATGGACTTGTAGCATTAATTTCTCATTATACAATAAGCATAATACATTCAATGCTAACCACATGAAAAAAATTGAAATCCTCAAAACATCTTTCCACAATTTTTTGCTTATACTTCCACGTGACGTAAGATAAATAAAAAAAATTTCTACACCTTCTTATATAAACTTAATACAATCCAAATAAAAAGAGATCCTACGCAAACTTCAACGTAAGTCAAATACTCGAAAATTCTTCTCCTTAGCATCTCTTTTAAATACAAGCAGAATAAAATATTTCCTGTATTCTAAAATTTATCGCCAGCCACGTTTTATTTAATTAAAAAGAAATATTTGAACTACATTTCGAGCAGAGAAAAAGAAGAAGAGAAAGGTCGGCTAGGCTTTGCAAATTTCAGAGCAAACAGCGCTCTATAGTACTATAGTATTTAGCCAAAGGGAAATGAGAAAAGAGGAAAAGTAAAAATAAATAAGGCCACAGCTTACCAAGCGACGAGATGAGGTTTCCCCAGAGTTCAGCAGTCTGCCAGGCAAGAAAAAAGAAGCCGAAGAACCTGACGACGATGGCGTCAACCGGCTGATCGGTGAGTTTCGCGTAGACGCCACCGACTTGCGTAAGGTAGGTGGCTTGGGCTGCCCACATGGGTGCGGCGCCCAGGCCAAGGAGCACGCCAGCCGGTACCAGTGTATAAAATTTCGGATAGAACTGGGAGCCGATGTACGGTGCGTAACACAGCATCGACAAACATAACGTCCATTTCACGGTGAGCCTTTTGATAAGGAAGGTCGGCACGAAGATGCACGACAGCACCGAAGCCGCGTAAATCGCTGACAGAGACACGGTGCCTAAACCGTCACTGGCATTGATAGACGACTGTAGATTCGCTGTGCCTTGAAACGCGGTGAACTGCACCATAAAAGCGACGGATACAATGCCAATGTTCTTTAAGATACGCCATTTCTCGCCGCGGGAGAGCTTGAACTTTCTGGATTGGGTGTCGTCGTCGGTGGACGATAATTGCGGTGGTTTCTGTGGCTCAGGAGGTATGCCATCGGTACCATCGTCCTTGTAACCCTCGTTCCTGTAACCGACACCACTCACGGTCACCGTGTACACGGTCTCATCGCCGCCGCCGCCGCCGCCGCCTCCACCGTCTCCGCCGCCACCGCCACCCACACTTCTGGTACCGTCGTGTTGTGAGATTACCATTCTACGTGTTTGCTACCTGCAACATCGTCAATTAATCGGTCATTAATATACCTTCATATACACATCAAATTTAATTTTATTATCATAAAATACACGTCAGAATCGTTTAGCATTATTTAAAACAACATCTTAATCGGTCAAAGTTTAACTTCACTAGGAAGAAGCTGTCCCTTTCGAAAAAATTCCTTTCCCTTTCGACGCGAACGTACGAACGCTCATTCAAGAACCCATTCAATGGTGAAACGCAGAATCGCAGGATTTATCGGGGGGGGGGGGGGGGGGAATATATCAAGCTGAGGAACGCGAGATATTTTCGTTCGGAGGTGAAGAAAGAACGGCTCGTATATTACGAGTTGATAGTTATGGACGGTGGCGCGCATGCAATGCGTACTTCTGTAAAAACGATTTATAACGGGCCATTCATTGGTATGAAGGGGCGTGCGAAGAACGAATCGTGCAATTTAAAGGAAATCCTTTCTTTTTCTCCTCCCCCCCCCCCCTTCCCCCTTGTCCTCGCCCCTTTCTTCTTCTTCTTCGTTTCTTTTTCCTTTTTCCCTCCGTTTTAAAAGGCTTTATTGAAGCTGTTCGCGAATCACGTTCCACTTGCGCTTGTAAATTCGTCTGTCGTCGATGTAATCGATGGGAATGCGTGACCGGCCGCACAATACTGTGACACGTGTCGTACGGCGTGCATCGCAATTAACTGGCGCTCGCAATACCTTCACCTCGTTCGCTAACTCTTTCTACGCCCTGTCTCCCCCGCCAGTATAAACGAATCTTCGTTTCATTCGCAGCGTTTCTCAAACGTGCTTGCTGGCACTTTCTTCCGCGCCAGAGAACCACCCAGTTTCACGAACGAGAAACACCGCGTGGAACACCTCTTGAAGCTAAAAGCTAATTTCACTCGCGGTCGCGGCGGTGTATTTGATAATCAAGCATAACTGTTATGAATGACGACAGACGATTTTGATGACATTCCGGCCACGATATCGTTGTGCACACGAGTACACGCTTTTAAACAGTTGACACGATGAATTTGAATTAGACGAAACGAAAATGCGATAGAGAGGATCGAAAGTGAAATTGAGCAAATCTGCTGGGTCTTTTTTGGATCGTTCTTGACATCGATCGTTGTTTCTTTTTTTTTTTTTTTAAAGGAACTTTGGTTCAATTTTATGCTAACTACAATCCAATGATGTAGACAATATTGATTATAAAATTATAGATCGGTAGTTTTAATACTGACAGAATTCTCTATTTTCACATCATATCGCGCTAAGTAATACCGTCGCGTAAATTATGATAGAAATGATTATGCAGATTTGTATTTGCATATCCATGTAACATACACTGCATGTACTTCTGTAGATATAGATTACCTGTAAATACGTAAGCAAGTTTTATAGGTGCAATTATAATATCAAATCGATAATAAAAAGTAAACGTTTATCAAAAAATTTCTTTCACAATCACTTTCTTAGACAAAGTGGTTTCAAAGTTTACCGTTTTCGATTAGCATTATCGTACACTGATGTATTTCATTTTAAACCACTTGAAGCGTAATTTCTATCTAAAAGTTTTGTAAAGGGAAAATATTTCAACAAGTATACGCAAAGTTTGCGATAAAAATGATGTAATAGCATGCAAACGCTGTGTTTTAAAGCAACGAAATCGCGATAATCCACGCACGGAAACATATAGAAGAATAAATAAACCTTGGTTTCATTGTGTGATCGTTGATCAAGATCGGAGCAACGTTTGCAGAAGGCTATCATGCGCATTAATACATATACAACGAAAAACCTGTCAACTGTAGCAAAAACATTTCCCGCCATTTCGAAAGGTTGCATTTCCTCGTATTAAACGAGTAAAACGCGGATAAAACGCGAGGTTCACGTTCCTTTCTAACCAGAAACGTTCATTTCTTTTTCTTCCTTCTCTTCTTTTTTTCCTTCTTTTTTCTTCCTTTTTTTTTTTTTTTTTTTTT